CGAGCCTGCATTAAAAATTCACTTGTAAAAAAACAGATTGGTTTAAGAACTTCATCTAACCCTCATTTAATACATATTGAAATAATTAGGGTTAGAAAAGGTATGTGTTTCAAGCTGTGTGCCGCAAATAAGCGAACAAGTGAATTTTAGGTTTCACACCGATGCCCAACAAAGCATAGTATTCTACAGAATGTTTGCATTATTGACAGCATGAAGCTATATAATCAAGGATTTCCTTTTTTATACAATACATTTTATCAGCCCCCCCCAAAAAAAATTTGGCCAGGGGGGGGCAAAATTTGGCCAGGGGGGGCACCCCCCCCCCCGGCCCCAGCCCTGGCTACGCCTCTGATGGCGCCATATATGATGTGTATTTTCACGTCAGCACTCGTAAAATTTCGGACAAGATATTGTCTGAGTGACACTTCTGGTCCAGTATCTATTTTGTGCGTTAGTTGTCTTATGATTTATTACGATGAGATATATTTCACTACACTTTACATGACGGATCTTGGAACACGGGCGGAGCCACTGGGCGAAGTAGCGCGGGTGGAAAGGCAAAAGCCTCTGTGGAGGGGAGGGCATGCAACATGTACGCACTGCGTACCTATTTTTAAAAATGTTCTAGTGAAGCGATTTCATGATAAATAAGCGAGCAATGGGCCCAAAATTACGGCTAAATTATGTTTTTGTTAGGACTTCAGTTTCATGGCTTCCCGCAAAGGAAGCCATTTCAGAGAGAAGCGACAACAAAGGTAAACAACCGTCGCGACCTATTTTGATAACTTTTCCTTCTGATTCAACATGTAGTTACTAGAAAATGAGATTGGATCAACATTACTATCTGCCTTATCAATAAAACCCAATACAAAAAGCATTTTAAAAGCTTTAGAACTCAAGTGCGGACTTTTTTGAGAATTTGCACGCGGCAAGCAAGGGCATTAATTCAATACACTTATTTCAAACCACAATATGTCTGAAACGAGTTGATGAAAATAGATATAACAGTGATTTTGGAATATCCTACTTATTTAGTGTAATTTAATACTCGAAGTATTCTTGCCAAATAGGGCACGTACGCACACAGTAATTTAATCGGGTGTCATTTGAAACATACTTTAGCTAAAATAACAACTTGAACAAGAAGACCAACAATGGGGTCACGAAAACAGTCTAAATTGTGCCCAAATTTGCATAAACAGTTTGTCTAAAAAGATAACTGTAAACTAGATTCAACCAACATTAATGCAGCCGAATTTTGTGAGTGTTTGATCGCATATTTCTACTCAAAAATACCCTTTATCGCTTCCTTTCCTTAACACTATGTCAGCAAGATATCCTGCAAAGATTAGCTCTGTTTTCTGTGCGCGAACATTGCGCAATTGACCAAGTCAGACAGCAACTGGAATAATTATGGCAATGTGCGTCTTGCGCAACGCACATGCCGATATATTAATTTTTTAAAACAATGAGATAATTATTAACATAACAAATTATAAACCGAAGTTAATTATTAAAAGTTTGCACAGAAAAGGTGGGGGAATAAATACGCCCACCATTTAGAAATTAATTTAATAACTAAACTAACTTACATATGTAATAATATGCAGAAAGAAGACAACAATGGACACTCGTTTACTTTCACACTCAAGGACTCAAATGACAGAAGAAATGTGGACAATGAAAACTTACTAGTGGACACTGGAGCGACTAGTCACATAATTAATGACAGTTCAAAATTTATAAATTTTGACGAAAACTTTGATTCTAGCACTCATTTTATGGAATTAGCTGACGGTAGTAAATGTAACGTTGTATTAGGAAAAGGGAATGCTAAAGTTAAGCTATTTGATGTAAAGGGAAATATGCATGATGTTATGTTGTATAACACGCTCTACATTCCATCCTATAACCAAAATATCTTTTCAGTTTCAGCCGAAGTAGGTAGAGGAGGCTCAGTAAACTTGGGTAAACAGGTAAGTAAATACACCACTGAGGAAGGCAATGTATTTGAGATCAGGCAGAAAGGGCGTTTGTACTATTTAAATAGCGTATCATCATCAAGTAATAATGCTAGTTCAATAGAGGAGTGGCACAAGATTTTAGGCCACTCTAATTACGGAGATGTTAGAAAGCTAGAGCAGGTAGTTAAGGGCATGAAGATCACTGATCACAAGGAGCCAGAATGTGAAGTATGCACTCAGGGCAAAATGTGCCAGACTAGAAGTAGAGAGCCAGACCAGAGAGCAAAGGCACCCTTGGAATATGTACATTGTGATTTGGCAGGGCAAATAGAGCCCACTGCCAAAGACGGATTTAAATATGCTTTATCGTTTGTAGACGATTTCACAGGTATAAACATGGTCTATTTCTTGAAACAGAAGAGTGACACTACAGAAGCAACAGAGAAATACATAGCTGACGTTGCGCCTTATGGAAAAATCAAGCGAC